TCATTAACATATTGCACAAAATACTCTCTGACATCTTTAGCATTGGTTGGAGAGTTTCCCAAACCCCTTCTTTCAGTTATGCTTTGCATGGAACTTTGGGTGTCTTCAGTGTTAACCCCATCACGCCGTCACACAAAATTATGAAGTACACAGCAGGCTTTTGTGATTTTAACCGCAGTTTCTGGTTCTACAAGCATGCTGGTCTGGAAAACCCTCCACTTTTTTGACATAATACCAAAGGAACATTCAATATACTGACGGGCTCTAGATAATCTGTAATTAAATATTCTTCTCTGGTCATTTAAACTTCTTCCTGGAAACGGCCTTAATAAATTTTTATGCAGAGCAAATGCTTCATCAGCCACTAACACAAATGGTTGTGGCACGCCAAGATTGTCATTTGGTAAGCATTGATTTGCTGGAAAGTTTGTTCTGTTCGTGTAAAGTTTTTTGCCAAATGCAGATGTTTTGAAGACATTGCAGTCACTCTCCTTCCCGTAAGAACCCACATCAATTACTCTAAAGCAGTAGTTAGAGTCGCAAATAGCCATGAGAATTAATGAAAAAAAAATGCTTATAATTGTAATACAATGATGCCAATGATCCACTTTTTCGGGCACTCAAGTCGTATATGTTTACCATCCACCTGTAATCAAAATTTGTGAAGTTAAAATATAAATATTTAATTTTAAAAACAACATATCTTAAACGACTTAAACAGGCACAACTAGGCCTACATTTTTTTTGTAATAGTAAAACAACAGTTGAACATTTTTATTTTTTAATTATTTGATTAGTTATTTATACAAATATTAAAAATGTTAATATTTAGAGGTTTTAAATTCTAGTTATACATTTTTGTAAAATTAGATTCTGAACTGAGTAATAACATTCAATATATTGATTTTAACAATGATTTTTTTATTTTATTTTTTTTTTGTGTCAGAGGACAACATTTGGATGAGTAATAGTGCTTCAATTTTAAAAATCAAGGGTGGTTTTGGGTAGCACTGTGAATTTATATTGTACTTTAGGGGGTCAAAAGTAAAAAATGTTCAATAGTTTTTAAATGTGACATGAAAAACAAAAAAAAAATTATAGAAAAATGGTAATTTTTACGCAAAACCAGTTTTCGACAAATTGAATTTTTCATTTGACTGTTACTCAAAAACTATGAACTGTAGATACTTTAAATTTTTACCAAATGTTTATATTGACATCATCTAAACATAGTAAAATTTTTAATTTTTTGAGCTATTTATAGGCAGTTGAAATTTTCAATTTTTCTTATTTTTTTTCGTATTTTTAATCATGGGTTTCAATTTTTTTATAAGAGTAGAAAGATCAAATTTTTACGAATTATATTAAAATCGCAAAAATTTGAAGTTTTTTTGTAGTTTAAAATTCATACATTTTTAAGTATTTATATCTAAAGTTAGAAAATTTGGTACAAGATTCTCCTTTATTTTTTCTTCGATTATCTGTAAAACTACCAGGGCTATAACTAAAATCTTCAAAATCACACGAATATTGCAAATTTTGCAAATTATTTTTGATTCAAAATGTAATAAATTTTTTTGTATTTATAGCTAAGAATTGAAGATTTAATACAAGCTTGTTCATAAGTTTTGTTACACATATTCATACAAAAAAATCGAGCGTAAGTCAATTAAAAATTTTTTAAGAGCATCTAAATTTAATTTTTACATTAAAAATATAAAATTCAACCCGTAAAATATCAAACGATTTTAGATTTTAAATAAATAAATAAAAATATCTAGACTGACAAATCGTCTCCGTTCAGAATGGTTTTTCGTATACAATGATACCTATCATTGCATTCAAATTAAACACATCTATTATAGGACCTACTCCTATGACCGAGGTCCACTCAACTCCTACTGTACAGCAGAACGAGTTCCCGATTTTTATTTAATATTTTTTGCCATTTAATCATAGCATTAGATTATTTTAGATTCTGAGTGAAAACGATGAATGTATTGATTTTACAATGATTGTGTTTTTTATATTATTTTTTTTATTTTTTTTGTGTCTGTGTACACGATAAGTAGTCGAAATAATGCTTCGATTTTCGACTTTAGTATCTTGTTCGATTGGAAAGTGAATATCGTTGGTGCATTAGGGAGGTCAAAATTTACAATTCCCAGTACTTTTCAAAAGCGCCAAGAAAAACAAAAGAAAATTAAGGAAAAACGGGAATTTTTACGCAAAATCGATTTTCAGAAAATTGAATTTGGTTTTTGGTGTAACTTTAAAATCAATGACCGTAGATACATGAAATTTTCACTGGTTGTTTATATTTGCATCTTCTATACACGATAAAATTTTCAAAATATTTTGATTTATTTTGAATAGTTTAGGGACATTTTCATTTTTCATTTTTTTTTAGTTTTTTTTCTAGAAATATCAATAAAATTTTATTTGTTGGTTGCTAAAAGTTGAAAATTCTAATAACTTGTAGAACATATATTGAAATACCTTCGTACCTAATATCAATAATCTCTAAAAGGAAATAAATTAACATAACACCACAGAATAAGTTATTCTATGATAACACCAATGCATTTTCCATTTACACTGATAAATTAACATTGAAAGCATAATATGAAACCTTTTGAAATGTGCAGAATTTATATTGGAAAATAAACAATCTATCTCTGAATAATATCTTATGCATCTTAGTAATAATTAATGTTTGATAGGTTTCAATTCAATATGATAATTTAAAGTTTTTAACGACTATTCTTTTACAACAATTGTTGTATTTGAAAATCAATGAATTTTGTAAAATATTGATTAATTAATCAGTATATAAAATAATATATGGTTATACAAATTTAATGCAACCTTGCGTAAACAGTCAATGATAATTAGTTTTGGTTCAACAATAATTAATAACACAATAGTAGGATGCAGTAATAAAAATCACAAATTATTTTTTATAGTTTGATATGGCTAGGTAGTTGTTTATGTAGCTTATAGTTTTCACCATAAGAATTGTAGGCTTCACAAACTTTAAAAGAAAAAAAGCATAGCACGCTACGCAATATTTTTCCTCTACAAGTAAAGTCTCCTAAACATAAATAATATGTTTTTGTTAATAAGTTAAAATCAAAACGAAAACATTACGAAAAATCAGTCAAATTACAAAAAACGTGTATCCAGTACAAAAATATGTTAAAAATGTGTATACAGTTTTATGAAGTTATACTTCATTACGCAGGGTAGTGAGGAAAAAAAAAGCGAACGGGCGGCCGTACGAACGCGAAAGCGTACATGTCCGTAAATAAATAAATATCGTCATTTTAGTGTTGTATTATTATACATTATAATATCTATATATATATATTATATATTATAATCGGGCCATACTAATTAATATGAATAATTAATGATCGATTATTATTTATTTTTATTATTATTATTATTATTATTCACTCACAAATCTATCGTCTGGATAAAAACAATACTACAAACAATTATCCATCAATCTGTCGAATAAAAATATAAAAAAAATAATAAAACTATTAATAATAAATAATTCCGGATACTTCTTCTCATTTTAGATTCTGAGTGAAACGATGAATGTACCTATTGATTTTACAATGATGTGTGTTTTTTTTTGTGTCTGTCATCACGTTTTAGGACAGTAAAGTGCTTGGATTTTCTTCAACAGTAGCTTTTCTGATAGGAAAGTGAATCTAGTTGGTACTTTGGGGGGTCAAAAGTAAAAATTTCCCAATAGTTTTCAAAAGCGCCGAGAAAAACAAAAGAAAAATTAAGGAAAAACGGGTATTTTTACGCAAAATCGGTTTTCCAAAAAATCGATTTTGGTTTTTGGTGTACCTCTAAAAGAAATGAACGTATATACATGACATTTTCACCGGTTGTTTATATTTGCATTTTATATACACGATAACATTTTCAAAATATTTTGATTTATTTTGAACTGTTAATTGACATTTTCATTTTCCATTTTTTTTTTGTTTTTTTCTAAAAATATCAATAAAATTTTATTTGTTGGTTGCAAAAGCTTGAAAATTTAATAGAAGGCTCCTAGTATATTGTTTCAAAGGCAGATGAAAAATATTAAAAATCCTTATTCACAATTTTTTTTATAAGCATTTAAAGTTCAAAAATTGACAAAATATGGAAAAATCACGAAAATTAGCAAATTATTTTGAGTTAAGAATTCGTAAAAATTTTTCTTTTTAAATCTAAGATTTGAAAATGTGATACAAGATTCCTTATAAGATTATCTACCTTTATCAAAAAAAAATTGTCTATAAAAAAGTCAAATTAAATTTTTATGAGCATTTGAAATTCAAATTTTTTCAACATTGGATATTCACTCGATTTCCCATGTAGCGATTTCCTTATTTTGTTGTAAATCAAAAACGAATAATTGTAGATACATGAAAATTTCACTGAATGTTTATATTAGCATTTCCTATACACCATACGATTTTGAAAATATTTTGACTCTTTTTGAGCTATTTACGGACATTTTCAGTTTTCAATTTTTTATAGTTTTTTTTTCTATAAATATCAATAAAGTTTTATCTGTTGGGCCAAAAAGTGTAAAACTTTAATACAAGGCTCCTGATATATTGTTACAATATCAGTTGAAAAATATTAAAAATACATAGACACAGTTTTTTCTTATAAGCATTTAAAGATCGAATTTTGACAAAATTTATCAAAATCTCGAAAATTATCAATCATTGTAATTAATAAATTATAAAATGTTCAGTTTTTATAGCTAAGTATTAGAAATTTAAGACAAAGGTTCTCATAAATAGTTTATACTGTAACCAAAAAATTTAAGAAATATATGAACACAGTTATTTTTTACAGACATTTTAAACTCAAATTTGGACGAAATTACATATTAAAAAACCTAGAATAACTTTTTTAGTTATTTTGTTGTGATTGAATAATATTATTCGTGGGTACTTGAAACTTCTAAAGTGTACTATTATATATCTCTGATAGTATCACGGTTTGTTGTTGGTGTATAACGCGTTATAAGTACCAAATGGATATTGTGATATGATTAATTTGGAATTAACCTATTATAGGTCAAATTTTGGTTTAGTGCCATAGATATTATGTATATATAATAAGTCTTATACCTAGACTGACATACCGTCTCCGCTCAGAATCGTTTTTCTTATACAATGATATTATATCGTTGAATTCAAATTTAATATCATCCAATATACAGTGACCCACTTGTAACCTACTGTACAGCAGAGCGACACCCACTTGCCTACCTTTTTTAAATTAATTAATATTTTTTTCTTTCTTTTTCACTCACTCACGTGTACCATTCAAAAGAAGTTTAACTTCCCGCGCGCGTACTGGTAACACACATACTTTTTTTAATTACTCCAAATTATTGTAATCCAATACGAAACATTTTTTAATATTGTGGAGGTATGCTAATTGATAAAATAATAAAAAAAAAATTTTTATACGCATTGTCCGTATATCTTAGTTAGAAATAAAGTTTGTATTTACCATAATT